ATCACTTGTTTTGTACGTTTGTATCATTATTATTTGCTTCCTTTTCTGTCCTATCAAAAAGCTTTTATCTCAACCCACGAGTTTTACTTTTTTGTTTGATTCTCTCCCCCATCCCATCAGGAGGGGATTGAGCAGAGAGCCATGTGGTTGTTTTAGTGCCTGCTGGATTAAACCACAACAATAACATAATGGAGGAAGTGACAGGACACGAGACACACCATCATTTGCCATTTTCTAAAAACATGCATCTTCCTCATAGAAAGAATGATAAGTTCTGGATTTTTGTTTCCACTCACACTTTGATAATCAACATTCAACCTGAATCCTAAAGAGGCCCGCACAACATACAGCCTTCAAAGCCATCAGCCTGACATGGCAGCACCCTGGGGAGGATATCTGATGCTTGGCCACCTGGAGACAGAGTCATGCAGAAGAGACACAGCTCCTGGTTGGCCAGAGAGCAAACATCTGCCACTGTCACATTCCCCAACTTTCTGCCCACAACACATCCAAATATCTCTCAGAATAAGTTAGTCAGAAAAACAAGCATTGGTGTTGAAAGACGCACTAGAAAGTAGGAGAAGGGTAGAAGATATGGAACAGATAGGGAATAAGTAAGGTGGAAGGTGAAAGGAGCAGGGATCATGGCACTCTGTGGGGCATCAGGGATGTTGGATTAGAGAAGGTGTTGATGGAGTGAAGATTTGAGCATCCCACACACACTCATATCAGATATCCCAGCTACTGACATAAACAGAACATCATCTGGCTTTATTTTAAACTGCCCCTATAAAAGGTATCAGAAAACTTTCTCTGCAGTATAGCATCATGAGTGATAGACAAGACAATCTAGAGTCTCCATCTCACTTGGATTTCACAGTGCTTAACTCAAGAGCTCTCTAAACCTCAGCAAGTTTCACATTTTGTTCATGTGGCTTTTACTTCAGATACGGGTAGTCCTAGAGCAATCCGCACAATGATGGCACCAGCAACCTGAAGACCTCAAATGCCTAACTAAGGCCAACAAAGTCTGTGAGTCTCAGGGGAATACTTGGCATGCACCCAGAGAAGGTCAATTGGAGCACAGGAGACTATTTCTAAATAACCCAGAGCTTTGCCACTGGGAAAAATAAATAGAACTATGTATCTTGTTTCCACATCTTAGCTGGCTAAATAAATAGCTCTCATAGTGCACTCTCCAGGGCAGATTCTTAAAGTGACCTTGGTCCTGCTGCTGCCCAGGACAGGAGAATGCGGGTGTATCCACAAGAGAAGTGGTGCATTTTCAATGCTGCATTCCTGGCAGCTGATCAAAGAACAAGGGTAATCTCAGCCCCCACAGTTGCCAGCTGTTCCTTCCCAGCAGAAAGGCAAATCATGGTGGCACATAGTTATGAAGTGGAGAAAAGGTATCAAGGGCAAAAACAAAGGGAGGATCAGAGGCTTGCTGGGAGGATGTTGGAGTTTTCCTCTATAAGCAGGTTACAGACTAGTGTTCTCTTCAAGTTCCATACTGATAGCCAAAAAAGAAGCAGATGTTTTTGTGACCAACTAACTACACCAAAATAACCCACTCCAAATTTCAGCACAGCCATAGCAACTTTGGGAAGAGCTACACCAGTGTCAGATGACCAGGAGCACATGCTGAACTAAACAAAGCACATGACCCCTTTTTATTCTTTCTCCCCATCTCAAAACCCATCCATAAGCTTCTTCCCTTAGTCACCCTACAAATTTTTAACTAAGGCAGCTCAAAAAATAGAAAGATATTTTCACATGTACCCACCTCCATTTTCTGATGAACTGTAAAGATGCCCAGGATTTTCAGACCATAGCTATCCCAGGCATTGGCTAATGCTGGGAAGAAGATCTGTAACCCACCCTACAATCTCCACTTCTGGTCTCAGGACTTAAATTCTTGTCAATAACACCTCTTGAAGCTACTTTCCTCAGTGAGAGCAGCCTTCCCAAATAGACTGCAAACAAGCACAATCCCTACTGAATAATAAGAAACTAGTGCCTTTAAATAGGTTACAAGCATTTTTTTAAAAACAAAACAGGTTCGTGTGTTTCTTCTGATGTAAAACAGACTGTCTCTGCTGAGCCATTGACCTTCTCAGCTGCTCCTAGTTATTAAATGAAACAAGCAGCTCTGAGCCCTACGCAGACCAGCTGAGTGGCTACCAGGCTTCAGCTGATTTATGGTTCTTGCTCATTAAACCAAGTGTAGGTGGGAGCCAAATCACCTTTTTCTGCGAGCTAGGTCCCAGGAAAGATTTTATCCTCCCTTTGCGCACTGATACAAATATGTTTTAAGAGGAGCGCAAATATTTTAGGAAAAAAAGGAAATTAGAAAACTGAACTAGCAATGAGGAAGTTCAGGTAGACAATTAATGTCTAAGGTACCTTTTTTTCAAAGGGAAAATAAATCCAAGCTTTTCAGCAATAAATGAAATGGCTTATTAGCAATAAAACTGGAGGTTTTATTGAGGGAAATTTTGAGTTTGCATTTTCTGTTGTGTATGTGTGTGTCCCAAATGGAAAAAAAAAGGTCACAGAAGAGTTCAAAACAATTTTTGTACATCAGATAAAAAGGAAGAAAAACCCAAATATTGCAAGTTGACAATCTGGAATCATTGAACTCAAAAGCAGTTTGTTTCTCTGAAGGCTATTTCTTTCCCTTTCTTCTAAGAAGTGAGTATTCCAGACCACTTTACAGCCTACATTACAGCAACCCTCAGCAGCACTAGCTGCATCTCCAAATGAATCTCATCAAAAAGCCAGGCTAGAAGTGTGGGACAGATACCAAGTTTTTCACTTCCCTCAGAGGAAACAGTGAATGGAAAAAGCAGCTTTGCACAAAATTAATTTTAAAGACCTTTATGCAGCCGGTCTCATTGCTAAATGAAGAACTGATACAGGCCTGAGTCGCATTACACACAGATCCTGACCTACAAGGCTATCACAGAAGTAGAAGTAACACCAGCCTAACCACAGCCAACACTTCCATAGGAAGGACATAAGGGAATCTAGTAGAATTTGCTTATTTAGTTAAGCACAGGCATGGACCCATCAATCAATTTTGGTTGCCTCAGAAATCAAGCCCAGCTCTGGGTCTAACTCATCCTGGGCACCCCTGTCATACATAAAGCAGTTCTCCAGGCTCCTCGAGCCTTAAAAATTAAAGTTACAACATGAGGCCAGAGGGAAATCTTGGAGGGTGCTCAGATATCCTAGGAATAACATCCTGGTGATAATATTTGATTTGGGTAATATCCAAACCTCTGTGCAGAAAACATCCTGATTTCATACTTTTGGACAGACCATGTTGAGGAATCACAGGTACACTGGCAAAGAGAGAATTGAAGCTGTGAAACACTTCCAGGTACTTAGCACTATACTAGAAAGCCAAAATTGCAGGCAAAAGTGAGTTGGCTTCCATTAACAATGCAGCTGCAGGAAGTTGTGCGTCTGCTGGGCCCACTTGGTATCTTATTTAGCAAAGCAAACTGTTCAATTTTTTTGTTTTATAGCTGCAGACCTGTAGGCAGAAGAACTGGAAGAATGGTGTATTTAGCAAACAGCAGTACCATGTGCTGACGTGCAAGTTCATCACTTGTGGCTAGTGGAAAGTAATTCAAATTCCTTCCCATGCAATGTATCGTGTAACTGGTGATACTGGGAGAACTGGTATCAGTCTTTGACGGTAACAGCAGGATGGACACTATTTAATGGTGCCCTCATCCAGAGTGACTGCCCCCCAATTCAACCACAGCTAAGCAAGGAGTGGTCAAACTATCGTGCCATGTCCTTCCATCCACTTCTTGCCTCCACGCAATGCTCAACCTAAAGCTACCTCCTCAGCAATCACCAGCCATGAACCCATGTCAGGTCCATGCAGAAGCCAAAACTGACTGAATGTTGCCATGTCATTGCTGAGACGTGCATGAACAAGTAGGGACTATGTGCTCCACAAGGCAGTGCATGTCTAAGGGGGAGAACTGGCAGGTTCTGTGTTGCGTAAGGAAATGTGATTGTGTGGGCACAGGTCATAGCAGTACATTCTTCCTCCTGTTTGTAATGAGCAAGCCACAGAAATGTGTTATGTCCTTCTGTGGATGTTTCCCAGATTACAAAGTTTGCCTTGAAAGGCATCTGAGGATGTGGTCAGAATGGACAACTGGAGGAGCGATGTTCAGCACACAAACTGGAACACAGGAAGTTCCATCTGGATATGAGGAAAAACTTCTTTACTCTGAGGGTGACAGAGGACTGGAACAGGCTGCCCAGAGAGGTTGTGGAGTCCCCTTCTTTGAAGATATTCAGAACCCGCCTGGATGTGATCCTGTGCAACCTGCTCTAGGTGATCCTGCTTTAGCAGGGGGGTTGGACTAGGTGATCTCCAGAGATCCCTTCCAACACCTACCATTCTGTGATTCTGTGATTAAGATGGAGATATAAAATGGACTTGATGTCTTCAGGGAAAAAAATATTTGAAATATTTGGGATGAGCTTAAAAACAGACCCAGATTAATACTAGTAAATACTGTCATACTTCAGAAATATCATGATGACCTGGTCACAACTGTCTGCAAAAGGAGGACGGGGCAGCACTGTCACAATTCCACTGTCCCTGCTGCTGGGCTGGTGGTGGCAGGAGGTTCTTGCTGAAGGAGTAGACAGGAGCGGTTTGCCTGCTGCCAGCACATGCTTCTCAAAATCCAGTCCTGACTGGGAAATGAAGGACGATACCTTGCAATCAAACTGCCATCACCGTATAGGGTACACTACAAATAGATGGCCACCAGCATGAATCATATAATGAATCACAGCATTAACGTGTCCTTCAGGGAACTATTGCTGCCTCTTAACAAACCCTGCAGCTTTAAAATGAGTGGAAATTGTGCATCCATTTCTGATTTCTTTGCCTCTTCAAGTGGAACCAAAATTTTATTTCTTGCCATCGTGGAAAGATGAGTTCCCTTGGGGCTACTGCCTACCTGACTGTCCTGACGTATCTCTTGCTGTAGGGGGTGATGACTTTGAAAATCAGCTCCATGGCTCCATTGATGCCAAGTGTAGTTCCTGTGGTAACTAAGCCAACAAAAGAGAAAAGCAGTCAGAACTGAGGCAGGCGGTCTGCGACCATTGTGTTTAGAGGTGATGCGGGAAAGGGAGTAGCTGCCCCTGGGGCTATGAGCAGATTCCTCTGGGTTCTCAGCTGGATAGGGACTTCACAGGTCACTTTACAAACACAGAAACTGAAGCACAAAGCTGTCTGTAGACACAACCTGAGCCAAAATCAGGTGAAAAACAGATCTCAAATACTGCGGTTCTTCCCCAAGTTCCCCAAATCCCCTTTTCCTGTAAATATTGTATTCTCCAGAGAACTAATCATACTTAAATAGGGTCATCTCCCAGCAAAATGCCAGGGCTCAAATTCATCCCACATTTCCCACAGGCAACTCCATGAGGACAGTTTATTTCATAGGGGCATGCAGGGCAGTTTTCTTTCTGTGCTATTATTCAGCAGTAGGGAAGTGGGGATTTTTGGGAGGGGTGCTTCTGAACGCAGCTTAATTTCAGCTAGGCCAATTTCACCTTTTATCCTTCACTTGCTAACACACTGGGAACTTTTACAGATAGATTTTGCCATCGATTCAAAAAATGCCTAATGCATAAACTAAGTGCTTAGCCAGGCCTCCCCACTGTAAGACAGGTTTTCTGTGTAAAGCAGGGATGAATACAGCCCTGAAATATTAAATTCAAGCAAACAGGGTGAAAGGATCAGTAACCAGGAGCAGCTAGAGGGGGACCTGGCCGCTTGCCCGCTGCTGGGTTTTGGCTGTTTTGTAAATATCTCCCAGTGGTCATCACAGAGCTGACAGAGGGGCCATCATCTCCTGCAGTCCTACTGTGTCCCTGCCAAGTTGTCCTGTGATGGAAAGCTTTGCAAGGCTTGCCAGCTATTTTTACACTAGCTGGTAATTCATTAGAGACAGGGCAGTGGACAAGGCTGCTTGAACTCATCCTGCCCCAGAGCGGGACGTGGGCTGCCACACAGCTGGTGGCTGAGATTGTGAAGGGAGTGACCTGGAGCAAAGAACTAGTGCATGAGATTGTGACAAGGACTCTTCTATTTTCATACCTAAGCACTTTAAGAGTGTTATACGCTTCTGGATCCTCTCTAATTCCACTCCATAAAAATATTTTTTAAGGTTGGGAGCATGTAATCTCCTAGTTTTGTACCACATCCTCACAGACCTTCACCTAACCTCCACTGCAGCTTCCCAGCTGGGCCACAGAGCCCTCAGAGTCAAAGTTACTCGTGAAGGAGGAAGCACATCTGGAGAATGCTGGACATACTTGGAGAGTAACAGAGATGCTCCAGCGAAGGAGCGGAGTGGGAGCTCTGGAGCCTGACATTAACAGAATGAGGCCAGGCTGCAGTGTGCATCCTAAAACCTCTGCAGAAACTGCAGCTGAATTGGGATGCAGGTGCACCGAAGCAGGGAGCAGAAAATGGTGTAGATCATCATTTTGGGTGGGAGGCAGCACAGGGTCACTACACAGCTGTGAAACCCAAATAAAGGCACGTTTCAGCTTCTGGCCTTGGCTGCATTTTCAGTCACACTCAGCCTTTCAAATACTTGCTCATCACAGGGAGAGGGGTTGAATGTTGAGGCTTGGCTGTTTGCCTGAGAAAGCCCATTGCATGAAGCTAGCTCCTGTACAGATAGAAGGGACCTGCAGGGCTGGGTGCCAGCAGTGCTAAATCTTAGGAGGCATATAGCAGACTGCAGACAGGATGGCTGTCAGGAATTATCTGCTGGATGAGGGATGTGGGAAGGGAGAGGAAAGGGTTAGAGTGAGCAAAGGAGAATTTGTGCTGACAAACTCAGCGCTCTATAGCAGGGAAAGCCTGTATGAATCTGTAATGATCCTGGGAGAGAATACTGGAAATCTCATTGCTTGAATCATTTAATGAGGGCATTGCCAAGCAAGAAAAGCTGGGAGAGTGCGGGGGGGGCACACTAGACAGAAGATCAGGCTCTAATATGTACTTCCTGAGGGACCTTGAATGTGTAGCTGATTTCTCTCTCCTTCTGTTTCTTCATCTGTATTTTCCTCGCTAGTGGAGCTGCTCTGAGGATCAATACAACCAGCAATAGTGAGACATTTGGCTATTATGGTAATGAGAACTGCATAAGGTATGTAAGTCTCAGAGCAAAAGAGTTGACTGTCTATATCCTAGAATAGGAGATCATTGCTATGAATATTTTTCACTACAGCACTTTTATTTTCATAGTCCACAGATGAAATACACTGTAAAGGCTGTATGGGCCTCTTGGGGAGCACCTCTTTCTATGCTCGTTCTGGCTTTTGTACTTGATTCTATATATTAACAGCGCGTGCAGGCACTAACCTTAATTAGGAATGATGTTTCTTTGCACTGAAATTATTAAAAAGAGAATTTGAATGGTGGTCACACAGAGGAAAGGAGGAAAATTCAGGCACTCACCGTTAGAAGCACAAACCCGCAGGACCCAGAGGCAGTGGGTGAGGTGCAGGTGGTGGCCCAGGTTTCTTCTTGTCAAGCTCAGTATTGTGTCAGTTGCTTCTAACTTCTGCACTTTCAGCCCAAACTTCCTATCTGTGAAAAGCAAATAAGAATCAAACTATTACAAAGACCAGGTCTCTGCAGCAGTGCTGATAAACATATTTGCACCAAATCTTATAAGTCAGGATCTTATAACAAAGGCATTCAAAGGTATCAATGAGTTAGATCAGCATAATTCCCACTGAAAAGAAGAAACCATGGGATTTCCCTCGAGTCAGCATATACAAATGATAGAATCATAGAATGGTTTGGGTTGGAAGGTACCTTTAAAGGCCATCTAGTCCAACCCTCCTGCAATGAGCAGGGACATCTTCAGCTAGACCAGGTTTCTCAGAGCTCCATCCAACCTGACCTTGAATGTTTCCAGTGATGCGGCATCTACCACCTCTCTGGGCAACCTATGCCAGTGTTTCATCATCCTCATCATAAGAAATGTCTTCCTTATATCCAGTCTGAATCTACCCTCTTTTAATTTAAAACCTTTATCCCTTGTCCTATTGCTACAGGCTCTACTAAAAAGTCTGTCCCCATCTTTCTTATAACCCCCCTTTAAGTACTGAAAAGCTGCAATAAGGTCTCCCCGGAGCCTTCCCTTCTCCAGGCTGAACAACCCCAACTCTCAGCCTTTCATCATAGGAGAGGTATTCCATCCCTCTGACCATTTTTGTGGCCCTCCTCTGGACCCGCTCCAACAGCTCCATGTCTTTCTTGTACTGAGGACTCCAGACCTGAATGCAGTACTCCAGGTGGGGTCTTACCAGAGCAGAGTAGAGGGGCAGAATCACCTCCCTCAACCTGCTGGCCATGCTTCTTTTGATGCAGCCCAGGATATGGTTGACTTTCTGGGCTGCAAGCGTACATTGCTGGCTCATGTCCAGCTTTTCATCCACCAGTACCTCCAAGTCCTTCTCCCCAGGGCTGCTCTCAATACCTCAATCCCCCAGCCTGTATGGATACTAGGGGTTGCCTGCCATGCTGGTCTCTTGCCTTCCTTTCCTGATTTCTTACTCATGAGGATTGAGAACTCTTGCAGTCTACGGAAAGAGTCTTTAAAGAACTGCCAGCTCTGTTCTGCTCCCTTGTCCCTGAGGGCAGTTTCCCAGGGGGTCTTATTGACTAACTCCTTGAACAGCTGGAAGTTAGCTTTCCTAAAATTCAGGGGTGTGACTTTACTCTTTGCCTGACCCATATCTCTTAGGACTGCAAACTCCACCAGTGCATGATCACTGCAGCCCAGGCTGCCTCCAAACTCGATGTCTCTGATTAGCTCATTTGTATTGGTGACCAACAGGTCTAGTAACGCATCCCCTCTGGTAGGGCTGTCTATTACCTGGCTTAAGAAGTTATACTCAATGCACTCCAGGAGTCTCCTGGATTGCCTACAGCTCTCCTTGCTACTTTTCCAGCACTGTTGGGGTGGTTGAAGTCCCTCAGCAGGACGAGAGTCTGCAAGCGCAATGCCTTCTGTAGCTGGAGTAAGAAGGCTTTGTCAATAGGGTCCCCTTGATCGAGCAGCATGTAGTAAGCACCAACCACAAGGTTCCTTGTGTTGCCTCGGTATCTAATTCTTACCCATAATCTTTGAACTTGCTCGTGGCTATTCTTCAGAGACAGTTCTTCACAATCTACAAATTTCTTGACATAGAGGGCAACCCCTGCACTCTTCCTTCCTCCCCTGTCCCATCTGAGGGCAGCACCAGGCTAGGAATTTTCCTAGTGATGTCCTTAACTTGGGCCTCAGGGAGGAAGCAGACTTCGCTAAGAGGAAGGTCCATCTGATATGTTGGACTCTCTGTTCCCCTCAGAAGGGAGTCTCCTACAACTATAACTCGTCTTTTCTTCCTTGTGGAGGTGGTCGTGATACAGGGGGTAGGCCTTTCTGACTTTGGCAACACCTCTGACTTTGGCAACACCATCTACATCTCTGGTGTAGATGGACCATCATCCACATCATTGGTTGACTGACCTTCCACATCCAGAGCTTTGTACCTGTTGTGCAGAGGCACCTGGGAAGGTGAGGTAGGCACGGAGGGGATTTGCCTGCTGCCCTGAGTGTGGACTTGCCTTCATTCACTCCTTTCCTTTAAGCTACTACCTTCTGCCTGTTGGGTGGAGGATACAGGATCCCCTGGATCTTGTGTTTTGTTCTGGTGCATGTTCCTGGTTCTGTCTCATGGGGGCACTTCCTTCCTCCCCTGTCCCATCTGAGGGCAGCACCAGGCTAGGAATTTTCCTAGTGATGTCCTTAACTTGGGCCTCAGGGAGGAAGCAGACTTCGCTAAGAGGAAGGTCCATCTGATATGTTGGACTCTCTGTTCCCCTCAGAAGGGAGTCTCCTACAACTATAACTCGTCTTTTCTTCCTTGTGGAGGTGGTCGTGATACAGGGGGTAGGCCTTTCTGACTTTGGCAACACCTCTGACTTTGGCAACACCATCTACATCTCTGGTGTAGATGGACCATCATCCACATCATTGGTTGACTGACCTTCCACATCCAGAGCTTTGTACCTGTTGTGCAGAGGCACCTGGGAAGGTGAGGTAGGCACGGAGGGGATTTGCCTGCTGCCCTGAGTGTGGACTTGCCTTCATTCACTCCTTTCCTTTAAGCTACTACCTTCTGCCTGTTGGGTGGAGGATACAGGATCCCCTGGATCTTGTGTTTTGTTCTGGTGCATGTTCCTGGTTCTGTCTCATGGGGGCAGAGCATGGTTCCACCAGTCTGTGTCTCACAAGAGCTGCTGCCTCCTGGCTGGTCTCTCTACTCCCTGGTGTTTCCCTGCCTCAGAAAACCTCCCTGTACACCACCGTCTGCTGCTCTGCTGCAGATTGGGCCAACAAAGAGAAATTCTAATGAAATCATATGTTAAGATTTCATTTAGGTTAAGGGAAAACAAAATAAAATTTCTGTTGGGGGGAGGCTTTCGGCCATGAGGCCAACCCAAGGCAGAGCATGAATGAAACCTGTGCAAGAAGCAGCTCTACACCTGTGTACACCCTCCCTGCCTTGTTGCAGGATCTCTACCTGGCCAAACTGCAGGCAAGCAGCACACCCCCCAAAAAAAATTCACAGCTGTCTATTGGGCACATCTCAGTGCTGATTATTGCTGGGGCTGTCTGTTAGTTTTGAGCCCCCCACCCAAGAAGGCTCCCACCGCTCAGCAGTACCTTGTTGGCCAACCCTGGCCAGCAGGCGAAGCAGGGGCAGGAGGGTGCTGTGGTCAGGAGGCTCGATCTGGGCAGCAGCGGCAAGAGCCTGCAGCAGTGCCTCGCTGCCTCCTTTGCTGATCACGTAATGAATCCTCCGGCCAGTCCCTGGGGATAAGAGGAGAGACTCTGCTCAGAGCATCCCTGCCCCAGAGCCGCAGCTATCGCAAACCCTCACCCCACAGGGAGCACACAAAGCTCCCATGGCCTTGCAATGGTGTTTCATTGCTATAAACCCAAGGCCGTTTGCAGAATTGACCACTGCATTGAAATGTGGCAGAGAAGAATAAGCAGAGACACCAACAGATTTCAAAGGAGCAGAAGGCTCAGTGTTCTTTTCTTAGATACTGGAAATTGAACAAGCAAAGGACTAAAGCTGTGGCAGGCTTCTGCCAAATGAAAAGGAATCCTAGGAAAGCTTTGGAGACAGCTTTCAAACAAATCTATGTCTCCAAAGAAACCACACGCTAATCCTGTGAGTCCTACTCTGTCAACAAACACTGATCCATGCGTGTCTTTGGCAGTGATTTCAGGCTCCATGGTTGGAGGAAGCCACACGTTCAGTTCCTGGAGGGGAGACAGTACCTCCTGTCCTCCAGGTAGGCGATCCTTCCATCTAGCTGAGTAGCAGCACTGCAGGGCTGCAAAAGAGAGGCTCAGCTGGATGGGCGATGTCTGCGGTAGGGCTCTGAGGAGTGGGGAACACAGGAGGCTCCAGCACTCGCTGATGCAGCCCCAGCAGCCTCACAGCTTGGTTGGGTTGAGCATTGTTTAGCAAATGACATTTTTGAGGTGGAGCAGGAAGGAAAATAAACTTAATTATTTTTTTCAGTTCTTTTGCCAATTCACTTATTTTTTCCATGTGGCTCGGGCACATGCAGCAACATGCCTTCCCTGCAACCTTGAGGTGGAGGTGCCTTTTGGGGAGATGCTGAACACTCTCCATTAGAGAGTCCCTGTGCTCTGGGAAGTGCTGCTCTCCCTGTCTCACAGCCCTCTCTCCAATGGCACTGGTGAACGTTTCCAGTGGTTGACTGCCAGGGATTATGAAATACCTTGAAATTCACAGGCATCTTTTAAACTAAAAACCATGCAGACTTTGTCTTGTGTTTTTTTCTCTTTAACTTACTGGAAAAGCTCAGTTTTCCAAACACAAGAGTAAGGACTGCTGATCTATGGGTACAATTCATATTTTGTTCACCTTGCAAACACCTGGCTGAGTTTATGCAGGTATAAATTAATTCCCTGACCTGTCTAAGGACCCCCTTTCTGCCCCTAGCCCGCAGGCATTGCCCCAGAGCTTTGCTTCCTTACCCCGAGAGAGCAGGTCAGTGAGGACACTAAGAATATTCAGGATGACATCCTTGTCTGAGGAGCTCTGAAATGGAAACACAGCAAATTTAGGGATCGATTCAGAACAGTGAACTCCATGCTGCGCAGGGCTGCAGTGCATCATGCAGTGCAGAGGCACTGAGATCCTTGTTTGGATACTGAGTACTTTCGTGCCATCTGGCCAGTGTATATGTGGAATCATATTTATAACACATTTTAAAAGCCTCTGACAGACATACTGATCATACCACACAATAATTAATACACAGTAGCATTTCTGCAGATTTTACATCTAAATTCTAAATTACATCTCCCTTTTTTGGTTTGGTCTGGCTACCTCAAATTTGAGGAAATTCTGTATCACACAGAAATGTTAAATGTGGGGTGGTTTTCCATGACAGCATCCCTTATTACTGGCAGTTGAAAAAGAATATCTTTAAATTATATTAATCTCATTTACAAGAAAACTCACCTGTCTTTGCAGCTACAACCACATGGAAGCCTGGAATTTGGGGAGCAGAAAGATGCCCTAAACTTATTTTTAATCAAGACCAAGTAAGCACCACATCTTGATACCACACATTCTGCTTTAGATTCACTTTCAATTTTGCAGTAGAGGAAATAAGATAGACTGTACTTGAGGAGAAGGAAGCACACGATATCTACCATCCACCTATGTGATACACTAGACCCCTTCTCTAAGCCCCTTCCAACCAGATTTCACTGCTGAGACTGAAGAATTGTTCACCAGTTTGTATTGCTGTATGAGGGATTTGGGTTAAGTTCTAGATGTCTTAATTTCCATACAGATACAATAAAACACAATACAAATTTCCAATATAATAGAAAACTTGCGTTTGCGTAGCCTTGATCCTGAAGAACCTCAGGTGTTTCATATAAACTATAATGGGATCTCTTTCTCTCTCATTAAATTATTACAGTAGGGTAATATCTAACAAATACATGGCTTCTGTATTTCCGAATGTTGAAGTGCTTCAGAAACTTAACATACTAGTATGTGTTCTGGATATATGGGATCTTTTTACCAGCCAACTATTCTCTGACATATTTAACATTATGCAACTGAATATTTAAGACAATGAACTGCAAAGTAACACCTAGCAAACATAAATTATAGAAAAGAATATTAGGGAAATCTAATTAAAATCTGTAATAATGATTATTAATGCAAATGGACTTTTTTCCCAATTGATCCCGCCTAAAGTCACAGCACAAGCTGACATGGTGCTGAGGATTGTGTAAGTAATTAGGGAGCTGCATATCATACCCCTTCTTCCTTTGTTATAGTTGGGGAGGGTATGCATTGAGCGAGGCATGGGGATGAAGCAGGAAAAAGGTCAGTCTTGACAGTCAGAGCAGGAGACTGTCAGCCTGGAGAATCAGGTTTCCACCTCTGTCCCAGAATTCATGTAGGATGCTCAACAGCTCCCTTCAAGCAAAACTCCCTCTGTATTGGCAAATTATATGTGCCATCTTCTGCATGCAATATCGACATTAACGCTGATGTTTCTGAACTTCTATATCTTTGACATTATGTATTCTTAGATTTCTTTTTTTTTTTTTTTA